CTTAAGAAAGAGATATTATATTCAAGACCAGGGCTAATAACACCTATGTTCTCCAACCCAGCTTTCCCATCGGCCATGCAATCCCCCACATTTCTTATGTGGCAGAGAATAGATAACTTGAGAATAATCCACATCCTTCACAATGGTGCAGGTTCTCTCTCTTTTGGACATCCCTACTTCAGGACATTATGGTAGGTCCTCTTGCCTTAAACCACTGCCCTCCTTTACTAGGTATTTGACTACCTTTGAGCAGTGTGTCTTGCAGGAACAGAGACCAACCCATGTTGTATCTGCGATTTATAAACTTCTCTTACATTAATTGTTTCCCATTTACCCATACTTGCTAACAAATAGGGAGAAAGAGCTTGGACAATCTATACCCCCTGAGGATTTGGAAAAGCCCCCATGTGGACTCACAAAATGTCACTATCTGCTCTATATCAAGAGTAGAATTATGAAATGGTACAAATGTGGTATAGAAGTTCTGTAGATGTTCACAATGTGGAATATCCCGGATCTCTGTGGGCACTCCCTGTGGGAGAGGGGTACTATGACTCATCTATGGAGTACCTGTCCCCTTTTATATACCTTTTTGGAACAAAGTTCTGGCCATATATGATAAGATCAGGGCTACAAGTAATCAGTCTGACCCTAAGATTACCTTACTGTCAATTCTCCCTGGATCTTTTAAATCCATTAAGAAAGACCTTTTGCACGAGGTTTTGGCTGCAGCATGCACAATTATAGGGAAAAACTGAAGATCAATTACTGTTCCTTCGGTTCTGAAGTGGGTGTGTCAGAACAATGAGATTGAGTCCTTTGAGTCCATGGTCTTTCAAGAAGAGGATAGACCTGAACCTTTTCGGCTGGGGGATTATTTTAAGTCCTTGACAGGGTTCTCCTCATCTCTATAGTTATTCTGGAAGTAGAAGGAGGTGGTGTGTCCTACCCAACTAACAGAGGTAAACCCAGGAGAGGGTTCTGACTAACCCCTCACTCTTTTTTACTCTATTATTCCAACACTTGTTGTGTCTCTGTTTCTCCTCCTTTCTCCAAAACTAGTCTATATTCTTGTATATATTATTACCTTGCATTTTTTATAAGAGCAAGGCAACTCATAAGGCATGTATGTATATAACATTAGGATACTGTTTTTGATATACAGTATGTTAGCTGACCTGAAGTTGGATGTCTCATTTAGCTATTTCATCATACTAGTCAATCCATTACTTTAATACTCATGGTATGCTGGTAGGATAATGTGCTAGCTCTTATCTAGCTTTAATATACTTGTTATTGCCACCTGGAATGTATTATCTTGACTTCTGTATCTCCTGTCACAATGTCATATTTTCATTTCCTTATTGTTTCTGTACCATAAATGAACACAATTCTGTGCTCAATAAAACAGATTATCCATAGATAGCATTTTCTATAAACATCAATTGTGGAGTTGGTTCTACTTTAAACTAAAAGCATATTAAGAAAATAAAATATTATTTGGAAGTGTGGGTTGGAGAGAAAAGTAACACTTCAGAGTAAATATGTGAGCTGCTTCTCCAAGGATGGAAACACTCAACCTTCTTCCAGCACTCCAAAGAATTGTCAGAAAGGCCACCTAAAGTAGCAAGCTATAAGTGATTAATTTAGGGTTTACATTTACTTGATAGTGGACTTTTGAAGACCTAGATTTACGTGATTGTTTTATCTCTGAGCCAGCATCTCAATCCAGGAAGTAGATGCTAATGCTGGTTGATGCCTAAAAAAGACAGGGAGAGTTATGTGCTCTGCGTCAGAGGTAAAAAATTAACTAGACATGTTACACTACATATTAAATGTGCAGAAGTCTAGTATTTTTAAACTTGGAAGACTGAGGACATCTAGTGGTGAAAGATAAGTACTGGGGGGAATGCTGATTGAAAAGCTGCTTTAGGGCCAGCTCCCACTGGTCCTTTAAGGGGTTCTGAATGAGTTGCAGCTGCACCGTAATCATCTGATTACTGTGATTGGCTATCATATGATCAGTAGTATGTCCCACAGGAGCTGTAAAGCTGGCCATACACCTTAGGCTGGGCAACCATGGCGAGACTTTTGTCTTGTGATGGTTGTAAGGTACTTAAAAAAACACGTACGATCTGCCCATCTTGCATAGGCAAATCGTACTTGCGATGATCGCAAGCCCGCCCCCTGAGGGGCGGGCTTCAGATGACCACAATGCCGAACGGGCAGTGTGCACTTGCGCACACCGGTCGTCCGGCTTTTATCTGACGAACATGCTACACACCCGCCATCTGCACTTTTTCCATCTGACCACAGAAAATCTGCAGATAATTGTAAGGTGTATGGATAATGCAGATAATTGTAAGGTGTGATACCTGTGTCACTGTGTTGGGAGCCCATACACTGTTCAAATATTGGACAGTTTTTGAGGAACTGGCTGAAATTTGCACAGTGTGTGCCGCTGTTTGGCACCCTTTCGATCAGCATCCCTCGATCAGCCGATCGAAGGAGCCAGTCAGAAAATCTTCGATCGATCAGAGGCGGCTGCCCGCTCTGGTCGGGTATTCTTACAGGTGCCGCTATATGTAAACAGCGGGATTTCTCAATCGTCGTGCTGTTATTGTTGATGGAGGAATCGGGTCTATTTTTTCTGTTCAGCCCGTGGGTTGCCACATTTATGTGGCAGCTTGAGCTCAGCTGCTGCATTTATGTGTATGATCAGCAGGAAGGTGCTAATTCTTTTTTAATTATCTTGAGGTCTACTTTAACATTGGAATATTACTGTTGCTTGGGGAACTTTGCACAGCTGCACCTAATTCAAATCAAAATAGGAGGCTGCAGGGAGAAGAACCGATGGACTACAATCTCATATTTTTTTACTAATTTGTATTGAGATTGTAGTCCATCACAGGAGCGAGCTTGGAGTGGTGGCTACTTCACAACACACTCAGCTCAGGGACCATGGGCAACAAAAGTAGTCACCCTTCAGAAGGAATGACAGTGTCAGCACCAATTCAGAGATGATTTGAGGATCTACAGTCGAGTGATACACAAGAAAAGAAACTTTGTTGTTAATAGTTAAAAGGTTATTAAACCCTTGCATGTTTTTGCATATATGTACAGCTATCAAGCAGTAGATATATGCAAAACGATAAAAAAAGAAACTTTTTGAAAGGGTTAATACTTATCTGTATCTCCTCCACGCGCGCCTGTCGAGACGAGGAGAGACACAAGGTAATTATATGGAGCAGCGTGCACCCGCACAGACTCTGTGGGACATGAGCGAGGAGGAGGACAGAGGAGTCAGCGCTGGATCGGAGACCCGCACCAGCGCTGGAGGGACAGCAAAAAACTACAGGAAAGAAGAAGATCAGATTAAGAGACATAATTTAAGGTAAGTCCTTACTTTACCACTGTGGGGGAGAGTTTAGCCTTTAATGTCACTTGAAGGTACTTAAATGCTTTTTTAAGCTTTAACTTCTGAGTTTGGTGTCACTTTAAGAACACTATTATGGCTTGTTCACAATAGGGTTGCCACATTTTCTTCAAGTGAAACACGAAAACTCTAGCGCCATGAGCGGCAATTTTTTTGTTGTTGTTGAGAATATAGAGGAGAGGCAGCCAGGGGAGGGAGTGAGGAGACCAGCTATAGGGATTAGGGGACCAAATTAGGGATGTCCAGATACCAGTTCAGATACTTGTACCGAGTACGGTACTTGGTATCTGAACACCCCTACTACAAATCCCAGCAATACATTATACAGTAATGCAAAAAAAAACTGCTCGCAGTTCCAGGTCAATGCGGCTGCCTGAGGTCGAGCTTGTTAAGGACCTCGGCAGCCGCATCTGTCAGAAAGTTTAAAGTGTCAGTGTCGGCACTGAGTGTCCGGGTGCCCGCTGGCTGAACACTCAGTCTCAGACACAAGACTCCAAAACTGGACTGTCCGGGTGAAAAACCGGATGGGTGACAACCCTAGTTCACAATACTAGTGTTGCAGTAATGTGCATGTAACAACTCACTGTAGTGCACTCTACACGTGTTAGTATGTTGTGGTACCAGTCTTTTTAAATGGCATCCTAATGAACATCTAGAACACACCTTTGCTACAACCCAATTCATTACAAACATTCGGTGCATGGCAAAGCAGTACTAAAAAGGAGCTGTGGAAAAGATTTTGGAACAGATTTATTGCAAGGTTACAGCCTCAAGTGCCCACAATTCATCCTTTGGTTGCTCTAAAGTAGCACTGTGGCAATAAAACCTGCCCGACCACGTGTGACTGTTTAGAGTGAAAATCTGTCCCAATTTAAGTGATAAATATGTCTCATCAATACAGATGCACAGGTCTGTAAACCTATCATAAAGACTTTGCTGAATGACAGGCAGCCTCATTTGCAACTATTTGGGCACTGCAAAAACAGGCCTGTTATAGCTCAGTCATTCTAAATGGCCACCTAACACAACGTGCCGCATCACAGCAAAAAGTGTGAACATTCCATTCAGCTATAAATGGCTCCTAATAGGGGGGTTTCCCTCACTTTGGACATATTTTTTCTCACTTTCTGGTGTTAACAGGATAGGAGGTTAGGGAACTTCCCCTAACGCAAAGGTGGGCAAACACCAGTCCTCCAGCAGTGCTGAAACTACAAATCCCATCATGCATATGTCTCTAGCACTCATGCATGTGGCTGTGAGCATCTTGCAATGCCTCATGGGATTTGCAGTTCCACAACTAGAAGGCCAAAGTTTGCCCACTTAGATGAGAAATACATGACATGGCTTTTAATAATTTCGTACACTATCCAAAATTAAAAAGGTCAGCCCTTAGACAGAGTTCAAATTAGCTATGTCGTCACTAATTCTGTTCTGGGGCTGGTATAGGTAGAATACACTACACAACTAACGTCTGGCACTCATCTTGTCTGCCAAACCTAATGATGGCGCCACTCTATGTCTGCCCACTGCTGACGTCAGCTCAGCGCACATCCTGGCACGCGGTGGTGTCTTCTGCGTTCCAAGCCTCGTTGTCGTGTCCTCCGGTTGTGTTGTTAGTGAATGTGATTGATACAGACGAGCCCGGTTTCTTTGCGCCGGGCTTATATGGAGTATTTCTGTACACAGTAGGTGAGTGTTGGGGGGTACGCTCAGCTACGTGCGGCTTCAGACAAATCGGGATGTGTCTGCTTACGCGAGGCTCGGGCTTTGCGGCCTAGTGAATTATGCATGGCGCTGAACGCTACTCTGCAGTGTGTAGGCTTCTGTCTGGTAGTGAATAAATACGTCCCACGTCTAACAAGCTCATTAGTTTGTTTTTGTAGCTGCATACCTGCCTCATTCGGTTTTCTTTCTCTTTTGGGTGACATTCCCTGAGCTGCTGGTTGTATGATGTTTTATGAAAATGTACCAAAAGAATGTATATTATCTGACCCATGCCAAAATTCATTGTGGCTTAGTATGAAACCCAAATGAAGCCTTAGGCCCCATTCACACAGCCTGTGATTACACGTTTTAAAAACAGACTGCAGTATATCCCTATGGGCTGCTGAATGTGAGTGGACGTGCGACCCTGCCTAAAGCCGTCCACTTCAGGTCCATTGGACCAAACCTAAGAAATTTGTGTCCAGGTCTGCTTTTACTGATCTGACCAGATGTGGGTGGATATAGGTGAGAGTTTGTCCATTTACATCCGGTCACCCATCGTGATTACATGGGTCCTTTTTCCATCATACTAAGATGGTAGGAAAAATTGGAATGACATCTGTCTCCTTTTCTGATCCGACTCTGCAGGGGATCCTAGATGGGTATAACGGATGGTACCTGTGCAAAAGGGGACTCATTAAAAGGGTTATTAAAGGAGAACTATGAGGTGAGTGATTTTCACTCGCCTCATAGTTCTAGCCGACCTGTGACAATGAGACTGTCACATGTCAGCTTTGTAGACCGGGAAGTGAGCAAACACATACTGACGTTCGCTCACTTCTTGATCCTGTCACTGCAGAGAGCCGTGACTGGATTCCCCCCTCCCCTGTCCGATCCTCCAGCGCTGACTGGCCAAACGGGGGAGGGGGAGGGTACAGCTGGCTCTGCCTCTAGATAGGCAGAACCAGTTGTCACTCACGCAGCTGGGCAGATCCAGACATAATTGTCGGGATCCGTTTCAGCTGCGGGGTCTCAGTATACCGAGAGCTGCAGCTCGCGGTATACTGAGCTTTGGGTGACGGGAGGTAGCTAGTTTGTGTCCTCCTGTTACCCTTAGGAGAACTATGGGGAAAAGCCCTAACCCCATAGTTCTCCTCTAAACACTCAGCTTTTTTTGGATATATCTACTGCTAGCAAGCAGTAGATATATGAAAAACCTTTAAAAAAAAAAAAAAGTTTTACAAGAGGTTAACACTTACATGTGTCTTCGCCGCGCGCTCCCGTCAGAAAATCTGAAAAATTTGGGGCGGGTGCATGCGCAGTTCGGATTTTCAGCCGGGAGACGAGGAGAGACACAAGGTGAGTCTATGGACGCGTGCACCCGCATGCAGACACTGTGGGACAGGAAGTGCCAGCAAGAACAGAGGAGTCAGCACTGGATCAGAGTGCCATTGTCTATATATGTAATTTTTTATTGATTACGGTTGCCAACCGTCGACAGCCGCGGCACCCACCCTCATTATCTTTGCAACAGCTGTTTCGGTTGCGATCCGTACATGGACTTTCCCCTCGTTAAACACGAAGGCATATTGGTTAACCGTGTTTTTTTTTTAGCCAAGGCACCAACAATTGCTAAATCCTGGCAGCAACCCTCTCTAATCCATAGGGAAGTCATACAATGCATTACAGATACCATAACCAATGAGCAACCCATGTAAGGGGGTTTAACACCGCGGATGTCAACTGGTTAAAGTGGACCGTTACACTCAAAAATTCAATTCTACCAATGCATCCCTCTATGTATTATGATAATAACATAGACATGTCAGGTGTAAAATGCTGTGATTATTAAATACTTACACTTGCAGGGTATTCACTTCCTGCTTTGAAAGTGCAAATTACTATAGTTTGCCAACACAATGCACACTGGGATTGCCTTGTCATCAGCAGAGCATTGCTAGGAGATTTAATGAGATCTCAGGGAAAGGCATTTCCTGCCCTGAGATGATGTGCATGGTCACATGTGCCAGAGTTCAAGGAAGTAAAATGGAGAGCTAGCAATCTGCCCTTAGTAAACATGGCCACTGCCAGAAGGCTGGGGAAGAAAAGAGAAATAAGGTATGCAAAGAATACAAAGCCGGCAATCAGGACTGGATTTACCCTGCCTGCCACCCCAAAGCCAGTTCCCGCAATGCGCCCCAATTTTTTACTTATTTTTTTACGTTATTTTTTTATCATTTTTTTCACTTAACTTTATTGCTATCACACAGGAGCTAACAAGCACATGTGTGATAGCATTTGGAGGTGACAGGTTCTCTTTATTGAACCTGTCACATCCAATACAAGAGTTCTAGCACAGCACTGAGAGGAGAGGACGGACCTTGGAGTCGGGAGGATGCAGCATGCAGGGGCGGGGGGAGGACGGACAGGCTGCAGTCTTACTTACCTTATTTGATGCCTCTTGCTGTGATCATCTTCTTCCTTCCACTTGTTTTCGACAAGTCCCTTCAGTGCTGTTGCTGGTCTCTGATCCACCACATACTCCTCGTGCCCAAGGTGTCTGTCTGACACGCGTGCTCCTGGCTGCGTCCATTGTAGAGCTGCAGCTAACGATTATTAAGTTCGATTAATCGGTTAATCGTATAAAAATAAAATACATTTTAAAAAATGGCTCCAGTGAAGGGACTACTAGTTTGTATTGAGGTTGTAGTCCATCACAGGAGCAAGCTTGGAGCGGTGGAAGTAAAAAAGAAAAAGTGTGGTGTGCAGTATAGTCAAATGAAAAGTGTAAAATTTATACAGCAATGAATGCAGAATGGCACTGGCTATACTGTAGAGGACTACAAAACCCAGCAATAGTACATTATACAGCGCAATGCAGAATACCGCCAGCTATAGAGGAATACAGAAAATGCCAGCAATAGTACATTATAGCTGGCGGTATTCTGCATTGCGCTGTATAATGTACTATTGCTGGGATTTGAAGTCCTCTATACAGCGCAATGCAGAATACCACCAGCTATAGAGGAATACAACAAATCCCAGCAAAACATTATACATACAGTGTATAATGTATTACTGGTATTTATATTCCTCTTTAGCTGATGGTATAATTTACAGCACAATGTACCATCAGCTATAGAGGAATACAAATCCCCAGCAATACATTACAGAGCACCATGTGTGGGAAAGTGCATGCTTACCTGAGCAGTCTTCCAGCAACTTGCTTCTGAGATCAGGCCTGTCTATCGGCGGCTATCATCCCCACCACACCTGCTCCTCCTTACTTCTTCTCCCCGCATCCCTGTGCCGATCGTGGATGCGGGCGGTGGGCGTGAGGCGGGGAGGAGGTGCGGCGTGTGGATGCGGGTCTGGCAGCGGCGAGCGTGAGGTGGGAAGGAGGCGTGGCGCACAGCTTGTGTGGAGCCGTGAACAGGGCCAACTAATCAGAGGCCGATTAATCGATGATTGAAAAAGTTGACAACTTTTTCAATCGATTATAATCGATTATGTCGATTAGTTGTTGCAGCCCTAGTCCATTGAGCTTCAGTGTCTTGCTTTCTCCCCTTCCCTCTACTGCGCATGCACGCACAAACTTCTTCACAGCCGTTCGGGAGCTGTGATCGCTTCAGCCTGGAGCGAGCGGCGCTGGAGCAGGTAAGTAATTAGGTATTTGCCTTATTTTTTTTAATCATGGGGCATATATCTACTGCTTGCTCTCAGATATATGCCAAAATAGAAGAGACTTTAATTGTACTTTAGCTATTAACAAAAAAGTACCTTATTTGTGTATCACTCGGCTGTAGATCCTCAGATCATCTCTGAATTGGTGCTGACACTGTCCTTCCTTCTGGGGGGTGGCTACTTTTGTTCCCCATGGTCCCTGTGTGTGTTGTAAAGTAGCCACCCCATTGGCTACATTTCTGTTGAGCCTATAAGTACAACAGGCACCCTCCATCTGGACAAACTGTCTCCCGAGGACAGAAATGTTTTGTAGCCTCTAAAATATATATGGCCAAAAAAAAAGCTTGTCAAAGATAGTGGGGGGAATTTATCAAAACTGGAGTAAACAAAATCTGGAGCAGTTGCCCACAGCAATCATTCAGCATCTCTCTTCAGTTTGCTCAGGCAAGATTTAAAAATAAGACAGAGAAGCTGATTGGTTGCAGTGCAAATCTGCTCCAGATTTTGTCTGCCACAGTTTTGATAACATTCCCCCCCTATGTATTTTATAGCTAGCCCTGGATTGCTTATATTGCAAAGCATGTAATTCACTTAAACAAGCGATAGGAAATCGGCCTAATACCCAAAATAAAAACCTGTCAGAGATTCCAACTCTTCCCCACCTGTCTAAAATAAATATAACAAAAAAAAAAAAGAAATAGTTTTGCCTGAAGATTGACTTAAAGTGACATTAAACCCTCTTTTTTAACATGAAACAATACTGTAATGTGTGCCTTACTGTAATCCATGGTTGTTTCCCTTCTCTTTGCTGCTCTTCCTTTTAAATCCTTATCTCTTCTCATGCTGGGGAGAACTTCCATTTTGCAGCAGACTGCCTCTTCTCTGGAATGTTACATGGTGTCTGTGTGCGCGCTCCCGACCTGAGCCAGGATGCAGGCAGCAGCTGTTGCCAATCTGAAGTGGGCCGGGATGTGGATGTCGGGAGGACGTCATCCTGTAGTCCTGGCTCAGGTCGGGAGCGCGCACACAGACACCATGTAACATTTCAGAGACAAGGCAGTCTGCTGCAAAGGGAAGTTCTCCCCAAGCATGAGAACAGATACAGATTTAAAAGGAAGAGCAGCAAAGAGAAGGGAAACAACCATGGATTACAGTAATGCACACATTACAGTATTGTTTATGTTAAAAAAATCTGAGGGTTTAATGTCACTTTAAGACCATTAACAGTAGGTGACAGTGGATATAGAAGTGCTTCCGTAGTTCACAAAATAACTTCAGGTAAAGAAAAACCTTATTTTGACTCTGCAGTAAGGACAATATCCTTGTTCATTCCTGGCTGGTGTTCTTCTATAATTTGTATTCACAGTTTATTGTTTTGTTTTCCCTCTGTAGGTTGAAAGGTCAGAAACATGTCTTTATATGACGATTTAGGGCAGGTTGAGACTAGTGATTCAAAAACAGAAGGATGGTCCAAAAACTTTAAGCTTCTGCAGTCACAATTGCAAGTCAAAAAGGCAACTTTAACACAGTCAAAGGTAAGCAACTGACTGCAGTGCTTTTCATTGTTTTCTTGCTCTCTTTCCTTTTACCACTTTTACACATACTGGTTTTATTCACAAAGTCTAGTAACAGCAGAGCAGAACTTTTTTTCTTTGGTTTATATAATCAGTACAGTAAACTCTTGTTATCAGTCACCCAAGGGGATCAGCAGGTGGCAGATAACTGTAGTTTTTGGTTGCTTGAGAGTTAATGGTAAAGAGAAAGGTCTCTCTCGGGTCCGCTCCTCTGCTCAGTGGGCGGGTGCAATAGCCAGCCTGCTATTGGTTATTTCAAGATGCAGTAGCTGGCAGTAGCTAGATGTAAACAAAGATTTTTGTTAGCAACTAAATAAATGTTGCTAACAAAAATTTTTAGTGTGCACCAAACAACTGGCAATTTTATAACATGCATCAAGCCGCCGGCAAAAAAAATAAATGAGTATATATGGCCTCGATTTTTCTTTTTTGCTGGTTACTTGAGAGTTCTGGATGATGGGGAGTTTACTGTACATAGAACATATGCATGTTTACAATAGAAGACATCATAAATGTTATCTTTCCTTGTTACACCTCGTTTATTAATCTGTTGCCTCGCAGTAGACAGTATCCGTTCTTCTTTGCAGAATGATAGAGAAATGAAGAGAAGGCTCTGACTGTCTGCAGTACAAAATGATCAATTGCCCTGTGACACTTTTATGAGTGTTGCCAATTTTTTCCTTGTGCTGATGAATACTCCGTGGGCTTTATAAATATGTTGTTTCTTGTTTTGTAGACTGACCTTTACTTGTTTGTAACTGTCATTGTCATGATAGATTCACGCTGACTACTTGCTGACCACCTCTAAAGAACAAAATGTGATGCTGACCCATGGCTTTGTTATTTTGAATCACTAACTTGGAGTAAGAATGCAGATCAGGAAAGTCAGAGAAAACTGAAAAGGTCTTATCTGCATACTTTTTTCGGGTCATAATCACTGGGGAAATTAATAAAAACTGGAGCAGACGGAATCTAGAGCAGTTTCCAGGACCAATCGGCTTCTTTAATTTTTAAATCTTAACTGAACAAACTGAAGCGTTAACTGGTTACTATAGACAACTGCTCCAGATTTTGTCTACTCCAGTTTTTATAAATTCCCCATACTGTATTGTCACGAGGGTCAGTGTGACAACCAGAGGATCTCACCAATGACAGTACCCTGGTTTCTCTAATGACAGTTTTGTTTTTTATTCTTTATCACATTTCATCAAGTAACAAGCAAAATAATAAAAGACACAGTCTCTAGGCATACATGTACCATACATTCACATGGAATGGCCAGTATTCATAATGACATTTTTTACCTTTTATAGTAATGTGGTCAGTTTGAATGCATTTCTATGTGTTGTTTGTATCACTTCTAATCATTTCAAAAGCAAAGCGTTAAAGCGACCATGTCACCACAGGTTTTTTTATTACTCCTTGAACACCCTGTTAAGTAACGGTCCGCAGCAAATATTCCACAATTACAGATGTGTATCATACCTGCACACCACCTCAGGCTGTGGTTCCTCTTGCCAGTTTGTATGTCACTACAGGACGTATGAATTAGTGGGAGAAATCACAGCAGGGGTAATGGGTACTCAACCCATCTTAATGGTGGCATATCTGCTGCAGTCACCAATCAGGCCACTGGAATGGTAAATATATTCCCTCTTATTTTACAGGGTGTTCATTGAGCCAAAGTGACCCAGTGGTGACTTTAAATGATACACATAGCAAGTAGCAATGTATATGTATTCCTTTATTTCATTTCAGATGGAAAAAAAACACTTCACAATAAATGTGTTGCCCTGCCTTTAGTTGCACCAGGAATTTAACATTAGGGCAAGTACTTGTTCAGTTTCTTTCTTTTTTTTTTTTATTCATTTTTTTATTTACTTTTTTTTTTTCAGACTCAAAGAACAAAACAGAGCTCAGTACTGGCACCTGTTATCGATCTTAAGAGAGCCAGTTCTGATGACCGACAAATTATTGATACTCCACCACATGTGGCTGCAGGAATAAAGGTACCATTGATGACTGTTTTTTTGGAATTGTGGATTATTCAAATTGTCTTTTTGCCAAGGCGGATGGCCAACTATACCACCTGCAAGAATTCGGGGACCTCATAGACAACTATTACAAAAGACTGCACCCTGTCATTGATGCTAATGGGGGCAATACACAGTATTAAGAACTAAGGGTATGCAGACTTTTGAACGGGGTTTATTTAATTTTTTATTTGTTGCCATGTTATGTTTTATGATTGTGCCATTCTGTTATGACCTACAGTTTAATATGAATCCCATAAGAAATGCAAAAAATGTGTTTTACCTGCTTACTCATGTTTTCTTTAAAAATGGTACATATATTACCTATTCTCCGAGGGTATGCAAACTTTTGAACACAACTGCATGTGTCTGATAGGTGCGGAAAGCACACTGCACTTTGAATAGATTTGCAGTTATAAAAGCAAATCCAAAGATATATATGTTCATAATTTCTGTAATTATCAAGTATTTTCACTTGCATGTATATATTTTGCTTTGTTTAGGAACCTGTTCCAAGCGGATTCTCCACTGGGGATACGTTGGTTCCATTGGCAGACGAATATGACCCTATTTACCCTAATGAATATGAAAAAGTGGTCAAACGACAGCGGGAGGAGAGACAGCGGCAGCGTGAAATAGAAAGGCAAAAAGAAATTGAGGAGCGAGAAAAGTAAGGGTCTCCATATACTTTGCCTTTTTTAGCCTTTTCCCCAGAATTCTTTTTGGGCTAGGTACATTGTAAGCACTTGTAAAAATTGTAAAATTGTAAACCGTGAATGGACCGTGTTCGAATTTGGTTGCGCTGATTGCAGCTCATACAGGAAGTTGAGAAGTCTTTTAAACTTCTACTTTTAGGGTTCATTGCTCCCAAGTAGGACAAGCTTCACTGTACTGAGGAAAAGAATGTCAGTGCCCGATTTCATCTTTACAAGGCCCTGTACACCTTGCCTTAGTGCAACAATAGCAGTGGATCAAAGCACTGCATCAACATGCATGTAAAGTAATGCTGGCTGTCCACTAGATGGCACTCACTTCATTGGAGATAAACATGACTGAATAATGGAAGAAACTTCATATTGAAGATGTGACACTTAGGGCTTGTTCACATCATAAAGCAATCAGCTGCTGGAACACACTGTATCGCATCCCAGCCGGCTTCCTGCTTTCAAGGGCAGTGCGATCGCCCGCACGATAATCGCGAGAAATCCTTACCTCTGCTACTGTAAGGTCGCTCGACTTTTGTCTTACACGCATGTTCGAAAACCCGCCGAGAATCGTACGATTGTAGGCGGGTTTGTGGCATGCCCGTAAGACAAATGCCGAACGGGCCGGTGTGTGCAGGCGCACACTGCCCGTTCAGCATTGCAGTCATCGGAAGCCCCTCCCCCTGAAGAGCCTACGTTTTTTTAATTACCTTACAACCATCGCAAGACCAAAGTCTTGCGATGGTTGTAAGGTGTATGGGCACCTTAAAGTGTCATTAAAGTAAAAAAATAATTTTCCCTCCCCCCCCCCACATGTTAATGCAGCACTTACCTTAAATGATGCGGGTGCACGCGTCCATAGACTTACCTTGCGTCTCTGCTCGTCTCCCGGCCAAGAATCCGGACCGCGCATGCGCCCGCCCCAAGATCCTTTGCGGCCGCACGAGCAGTTCCTGATTCTCGGCGCGGGAGCCGCTGTTAAAGCATTTAAAAAAAAAAACTTTTTGCCTATATCTACTGCTTGCTAGCAGTAGATACAGGCAAAAAAAACGGAGGGTTTAGAACCCCTGTAAGTGTGGCACATCAGTGCCTGCATTCCGGTCCAGTGCAATTTGAAAAAATGCTGCATGGCGGGCCCCCTCCCACCCCTGCATGAATCCAGCCAGGATGCGATACAGTGCGGTCCAGCAGTTGACCGCTCTGGAACACACTGTTTATGGTGTGAAAAAGCCCTAAAAGTGACACTAAACTCAGGAGTTAAATCTTAAAAATACATTCAAATACCTTTTAACTATTAAGAAAGATGTATCTTATGTGTGTATCACTCGGCTGTAGATCCTCAAATCATCTCTGAATTGTTGCTGACACTGCCCTTCCTTCTGGAGGTTGACTAGCTTTGTCCCCCTGGTCCCTGTGTGTGTTGTACAGTAAAATCAATATAAATTATGTGCAGTGCTCCAATCCATGAAGTATGCAAGACACTGGAAATGCATCAATAATTATGATCAAAACATTAAAACTTGATGTGCATCAAATTATGCGTACAATTACATAAAAATAGCAAAAACTGACAAGTGTCTGTTATGCACGTAAACTAAGTGCACCAAATATTGAGCAGTGTTTGTCCGCTTTTCAGTGAACACATAATTCCACATTAATAAATCGTATCCTGTGCAATTATAAACAGTCTTTATCAACTTGTCTGCAACCAGATAGTCATACCGGAATAGTATCCAGTCCAGATAATATTTAGATAAACTCTTCCACCTCAGTGCTCTTCAGGTGTACCTTCACCTTTTAGAATGGACCTAGATTTATACACCAAAGGTCATACAGAGCTCTTCTGCAACCATCAGCTTTCCCCAGGACTCTCCCTCCTCTGCTGGTTGCCTCTTATTCTCAGGCACTCTTCCAATGCAGGGCTGGGTGGCTCTCCCTTTGCAGTATAAACCTAGTTCCATCTTAAAAGGTGGGGGCACACTGGGATAATGTGTTCACTGAAAAGCTGACAGACTGCTCAATATTTGGTGCATTTAGTTTATGTGGATAACAGGTACTTGTCAGTTTATGCTATTTTTATGTAATTTGATGCACATGAAGTTTTATTTTGATAATTATTGATGTGTTTCCAGTGTTTTGCATACTTTATTGATTGGAGCGCTGCACATAACCTATATTGATTTTTTTGATGCTGTTGGTGGTTACACATTTGAGTTAGCAGCTCTATTTTGTAGTCATTTTTGGGATTATCGCATTATTATTTTCTCTTCCGTTCATTGAAGGACACAGGGAACAGATCTAGGATCATGTACTGCTGGTCTTGCATCGGGACAAGGTGATCCTACGACCTCGACCATCCTTCCTGCCTGAGGGGGTTTTTCGGTCTTCCATCTCAATGTGGACATTGTTTTTGTTTTTGTGTCCGAAGCCCGTCCGTAGGAAGGATAAATGTGGTTCGCACTCTCCGGGTTTAATTGGGTGCTATAGCTTCCTTCCGCGAGTCGGATTCCGTTATGTTGTTGCGGATGGTCCTCGGAGTGTCGGGTCGCTTCCTCGGCCGCCATCTCTCGCTGGATTCCCAACGTGTTTTCTCAGGCGTATGCCTTTTAAGGGGCGTTAGCCTTTTTCTGTTAAGGCCCATTCTACAAGGGCTGTTGAGGCATCTTGGGCTTTCCGTCCTGGTGCCTCGGTTTCTCGAGTTTGTAAGGCCGCTACTTGGTCTTCTGTTCACACCTTTGCCAAGTTTTATAAGGTGGATGTTTTGGCATCGGCAGATGCTGGTTTTGGGCGCATGATATTGCAGGCGGCCGTTTGAGGGATTGTTTTCTGTTGGGTTTATTTGGTTTTTTTCTGCCCACCCCTCTTCAGGTACTGCTTTGTGACGTCCCTACAGTACATGATCCTAGATCTGTTCCCTGTGTCCTTCAATGAACGGAAGAGAAAATAGGATTTTTGTACTCACCGTAAAATCCTTTTCTCTCCGTTCATTGAAGGACACAGGTCCCGCCCCTCTGTGTGGGTGTGTACTCTTAACTGCTTGTTACTTACTGGAGACTTGTCAGCAGGTGGGGGGTTTGGCCACCAGCAGGGGCCGCCCCTAGGCTGTAATTGGTCTTTAGTTTTGTGCCTAGCGTCCTTCTCCTGCAGGTGGCGATATTACCCTACAGTACATGATCCTAGATCTGTTCCCTGTGTCCTTCAATGAACGGAGAGAAAAGGATTTTACGGTGAGTACAAAAATCCTATTTTTTCACAAGAGTAGCATGGGCGGATTTTACACATTTTTTTTTTTATGTTGCAATGTAGACACCGCTCCAAGCACCCTCCTGTGATGGACTACAATCTCGATACAAATTAGTAAACTAAATGTGGGATTGTAGTCCATCACAGGAGCGAGCTTGCAGCGGTGACTAGTTTACAACATACATAGAGACCATGGGGAACAAAAGTAGCCACCCTCCAGAAGGAAGGACAGTGACAGCATGAATTCTGAGATGATTTGAGGATCTACAGCCGAGTGATATACAAATAAGATACATCTTTGTTTATAGTTCAGGTACTTGAATGTATTTTTAAAATGTAACTCCTGAGTTTAGTGTCACTTACATTTTTCATTTTCTTTTAGCATTGTGTGCTTCTGATGGGGGGTTTAAAAACTTGGCACATACACTAGAAATATAATGAACGTATGACAGGTTCTTTGTGGACTACTGGGTTCTTAACAAACTCTGTTACCATTAGGCTTTTATAGAATAGATTTTATAGAAGTCTTTTACAAATTGTGCTTTGCCCTATAGCAGGGGTGTCAAGCTCAATTTAATCGTGGGCCGCATCAACATTATAGGTGTCCTCAAAGGTATCTGTAAGATTATATAAATGTATCTAATCTTTATCATAATTGCCTCTGCATTCGATTATCACTGGTTTTAGTAATAACTTAATACCTAGATCTGAAAGTAGAAGTCTAGGAAATGGCCTGGTGGGCCAGATTCGGCCCCTGTGCCTTGAGTTTGACATATGTGCCCTATAGCATTAAAGAAGTCCAGGAAATGTGAACATTAACCCTTGCAATGGGGCTACCCCACACTGCAAGGGTTAACTGCTTGTTGTGGTCCAGAGGATAAAAGAAAATATACTCGCCTTATCCTAAGGGTCTGTGATGTCCTCAGGTCTAATGCAGCTGCATTAGGCCCGGGTTCCCACCTGGGCGTTTTTCCGCGCGTTCGTACTCGTGGAAAAACGCTCAAACAGGGAAATGCCATTATTTTCAATGTGCATGGTTCCCATCTGGGCGTTTTTCCGCGAGTACGAACGCGCGGGAAACCGCCCTACGCCCAAAGAAGTACATGTACTTCTTTGGGGCGTTTTGGTCGGGTGTTTCCATTGGGATACAGCCAAGTAGCCCTCGGAAACGCGTGTTTGTCGCGCGGTTTTTTTACCGCGAATCGCGGTAAAAACGTGCGACAAACGCTCATATTCAATACGCCTAGGTGTGAACCCAGCCTTAGACAGGAGGACGTTGAGGGATGTTTCACTGCCAGAGCAGAGGGGGAGAGAGGAGCGCTTGCCACCACACGACTGAGGATCAGGTGAGTACATTTTCTTTAGCACCTAGACTAAAATGAGCAGTGAAGCCTTGCAGTCGGGGGTAGCTCCACCGCAAGGCTTAATTTTTTTACAATTCCTGGAGTTCTTCTTTAAACACTCTAACAAGCATGTCCCTCCTGCCTCCAGTTGTGTTTAGTATTTCAGTGCATGCCTTGCAAATAGGGATTTTTTTCCAAGTAGAGCAGAATATGTGGGAGTTATACAAATAAAACTGTGATAAAGAACAAGTCTGAAAATGTCAATTGTTGTGGTAGAAAAGTGACGTTGCTTTTTGCAGCATATACTATAAAATGTCTATAACCGCTCAGACTGGTTATAGTCAAAAATAAAATATCATCTAAGCTGCTTGCTGATCAGGGATTTATTTTAATACCAGTAATCGTTGCATGTTCAGATAGCTTGTGCATGCTTAAGCCAGCCGATTGAGCAGCAAGGTCATTTTATTTAGTACTGGTAGGAGTGCTCGGCTTGCACACCATCTGAATATGGATGAAGTCATTCTCAATTATTTCATGTTATGTATATATTTAAAGCCGTAAAAATAAAACTACCATGCTCTTAAAAGAGACTGTCGCTTTGCATCCCTACCCCGGTACTTCAAGCAGTGGGGGAGCGTGTGCTCTGGATTAGAGATCCACCGATACTGTTACTAGTATCATTCCATGCTCCCCTGCGACTTGGCCACGAGGGAGCATGGAGCCGGCCCCCCGGCCAGTCAGGAAGCCGGGCAGCGTGTAATGACGTGTCCTTTAGCTAATTGATTGGTCAGGGATGCCGGCCAAGCAGAGTCATTACCCGCCCCCGGCTTTCTGATTGGCCAGAAAGCCGGCTTCATCGTGTAATGATTCGTTGCCCGGCTTCCTGATTGGCCAGCTACGACCGATCAGGAAGCCGGCCAACAAGTCATTACATGGCGCCCAGTTTCCTGATTGGCCAGAAAGCCAGTTCCATGCTTCCTCATCACTTGGTGACGAGGTTGCATGGAGGCGGCTTCCATGCTAATCGGGAAGTCGGGTGGCGAGTCTTTACACGCCGCCCGGCTTCCCGGCTAATCGGGGAGCCAGGTGGTGAGATATTACATGCCGCCTGGCTTCCTTAATGGAACTTCACGTATCGGTATTCGGTATCGACGAGTACCGGAAAAACAATATCGGTACTCGATACCGAAAAACCGGTATTGGTGCATCCCTATTGTGGATGCAGTGTGGAGCGAACAGTTGCCAGATCCGAACACTTAACTAAGGAGGATTACATTGTCCTTAACCCTGTGTAAATTCTGTTGTGATCAGAGATAGAGAATACACAGGGTTGAACTCCTGGATGAACAGGGCAGCAGGGAAGGTGAGTATAAGTGGATCTGGGAAGGCAAGTAAGAGAATCTGCTACTTTTCCATTTAGGAAGAAGTGGAAGTTTCGATGATAAAGTTATCGGAAGCCATGTATTACCTTGGCTATAGCAACCACCATTCTGGTATTCCACACCAGCTGTCTGTGACCTGCTTTTGTAAAGGAGGATCAGTATTATATACTGCTTCAACCCCTCCTTTAGGTCACCTGACTGGCCATAAAAGCACCAATTATAGCAGTTTCTGCATCCTTAATAGGTATTTTTGGCCTCTGTTGTGCTTTTTATGACGTTTAAAAGTTGGGTGAGTGGGATAAAAGGAAGTTTTATTTTAAGCATAGCTTGGGTAAACACTGTTCGTTGTTATAATGTTAACATAGCTAGGATAGGTTATGGAAGAGATGTGAAAGGCTGAATTGTCAATCCGTATACCGAACCCTTCATTTCATAATTGGGGATGGTGGGTGCAAGCTCTTTCCTCCAGCACTACAAGTTCACCATAATGATTTTAGTATCAACATTATCATTGATTTAACTATGTCATTAGTGTGGTATACCAGAAATTACTTTTATTTCTAAATTGCACAACAATGATCCTTCTACCTTCTGTAGATGGATAACTCGTTTGTAATGAATTTCTATTTTAATAGAAAATAAAAACAGTCTTAAATATATTTTTCCTGTAAAATTGCTTTGTTTTTGTATAGTGAATGTATAATGCAGGCGGGTGATTAATTTGATTTAAATATCTGTATGTTCATCATCGTTGTCTCTATTCATCCTTTCGTTATTAAGGAGGCGTAAGGATCGTCATGAAGCCAGTGGATTTTCTCGTAAACCTGACCCGGAGTCTGATGAGGAGGATGATTTCGACAGAGAGAGGCGGAAGAGGAGTAAGGTTTTTTGGTTTTTTTACCTAGTGTGGTAGTTAACATTATTCAGAAAGAGTATGAAAAGATGTAAAAACAATATGTTCATTTCATACACACATCAATGATGCTTACTCATATAATTTACTGTTTTTACTGCCATCAGACTTTCAGGTCCAATCACTAAAGGTGGCCATACACAGTACAACCATCGCAAGACCTTAGTCTTGCGATGGTTGTAAAGTGATTAAAAAAACGTACATTCTGCCCATCTTGGACAGGCAGATCGTACTCTCGATCATCGCAAGCCCGCCCCCTTGCCCACAATGCTGAACGGGCAGTGTGCACGTGCGCACACCTGCCCGTTCGGCATTTGTCTCCTGAGCACCGTTCGAACCAGCCGAAAATCGTACGATTTCCAGCTGGTTTTCTAGCGTGCGCCTTAGACAAAAGACGTGCGACCGTACAGCTGAAACGGTCGCACGTCTTCGTTCACACTGCTCGATTCTCGTACGATCGCGGGATTTCCCGCGATTTTCGTACGAGAATCGAGCAGTGTATGGGCACCTTAAGGAAGAGTACAATAACCCATGTAAATCTATTTCATTGCCCCTTTTCCCTGATTTAGCACAGAGCTATAGGCAGATATATAAAAAAAAACAAAAACATTGATCCATGTATAATCCCATTAAAAATCCTTAATGCATTTTTAAATATTTTTTTTTTATTTCGGTGATTTTTCCTTAATATAGTAAAAAAATAAAAACGGCCTGGATGGGAAGGGGGTTTAACACCGCGGATGTCAACTGGTTAAAGTACATTTCCACGCTTGCAGGCAAATCTGGGAAACCCCCATCATATATGACCTGGAATTGGTCCTTGAGCAAAGTGTAGTTCTTTAACACTCGTCATGGTAAATTAGGGTTCTGGCTGCGTTGTTTTCTAAGGTTGAAATAATCTCGTAAACCAAAATCAAAAACCCCCTTGGCATAGTGTAGAAAATACACTTTTAATCAGACACAGTACAATACACTTACTTAAAAAAGAAAACAGAAGAGTTGACATTTTTTTTTTCTGTGGTCCATTTAGTACTTGTCAAAATGCCCTGTATCGGTCCCGATACCGATGCTAGCTTCGGTATCGGGACATCCCTACTTGGCACATAACAATACCAGTACAGGTAGTTTGGTGATGACCTTCTTTTGAGCACACTTGTGGTCGTTCTAGGCCTTTCTGTGTTTTTTCCTTCCCTTTGCAGTATTCCAAGCTGAATAGTCAGATTGTTCAGATTTTGACCTATTCTTGTATATCCAGACTGAACAGAGATCTAACCAACCATTGATCTAAAAGTGCACGTTTTGGCTTGTTTAGGGGCAGTACATTTTATCTAATAATCATAGTTTATTTCAATTGTGTTAAGTCTTTATATCACTGAAATATAATTATATAATCCGTTTTGTCCTTTAATATTAATCAGTGATGAAGGTAAAATGCTTTTCTTTTTCATTGGAATAAACAACGCTTATGGTAGGATGTCCCTTGTTTCAGTATGTAACTGGAGACCACCATGAAAGCAGTTGTTCCCTGACTCCAAGGGCCACACGCTCTGTAAAGGTGCCCATACACCTTACAATTATCTGCAGATTTTCTGTGGTAAGATGGAAAAAGTGCAACAGATTGGCCTAGGTGGAGATTACTCCATCCACACAGTTAAGTGTAGATGGAGAAATCTGTTGCACCTTTTCCATCTGACCACAGAAAATCTGCAGATAATTGTAAGGTGTATGGGCACCTTTAGGCAAAGCAGTTTAGCCTTTTCAGGTGCACTGTGACTTAAGGTGCCCATACACCTTACGATTATCGGACTAAACTTTTCGTCCGATGATCGAACCGTTGTACGATTTTCGTACGACGGCCCAATCCTGCCCCGATTATTGCAAGGTTCAATCAGCGGTAGTTAGAAAAAAACACCTGGACGACTTGCGGTAATTGACCGCAATTATTTTCGTTTGCGCATGCGCAGTGTTAATCGTACGACATTTGACGGACGGAAACGCCACCAACCATGCGAATATCGTACGATCAACCAAAGTTTTCAAACATGCTTGACCGTCAAAAGTCGTACGATTGTACAGTACTATCGGTCGGGCACTCTATTCACACGTTACGATTGTCGTACGAAAAGTCGATCGCGTACGATAATCGTAAGGTGTATGGGCACCTTTAGTGGGTGTTCTGGTGCTGTTATGTAGTCTGAAAGTCAGGAAATGATTGCTTCCAGCTGAAGCTCCTGAGATGTATTTGGCTTTGTGACAGGTTTTTTTTTTTTTTATTACACACAGCAATAAAATCCTTCTTCACTGAAGTTTGTTGCATACGTTTCAGTTTCTCAAGTGCAGAATATAGAACACAATTCCTACTGACTTTTTATATTTTTTGTTTGATTTTGTAAATTGTGTAATAGAATATTAGTAGAGATTGTTTGGGAAATTTTCAGAATGGAGAAGATTACTTGTTATGAAAGAACGCTCTTGGCCGCTCCCAGGATTGGGATTAAAAGATTTAATGTTTGCGCGTTGAATTGAGCGCAGCATCGATCTTACTTTATCCGGATTAGTAGGAGATTCCATGAGCTGATGTCTAACTTTGGGCCAAATTCTCTGAAATTCAAGGACACATGTGCCCAAAAAGAAAATGTACATTTGGTAAGATTGAACAATGATTTGATGCACATAAAATCTATAACTGATTTTCTTGCATCTAGCTTCACATTTTGTACTTCTAAACTTTATTCCCTTGAAATATACAGTACTGTGCAAACGTTTTAGGCAGGTGTGAAAAAATGCTGTAAAGTAAGAATGGTTACAGCAAAAAACAATATATATA